AGGCCCCGGTGCCTGTGCAGGGCCGTGCGCCGCGGGGACCGGGCTCGCGCCGTAGGCCGCGTGGAGCTTCAGGACCCGGAGGCTGACGCCGAGCCTCGCGCCTTTTCTCCTCATTTCCTGAGTCAGGCGCAGGCAGGTCTCCCGCAGCCTGCAGTGGGCAGCCAGCCGCCTGCCCGTGGGGCTGCTGCGCCCTTTAAGCGCATTTTCCAGCCTAATGCCGGTGCCTGAAATTTCCACCGTGAAAGCCACCCCTTCCAGTTCTGAGCTGCTCTTTTTTTCCTGTATGGATGAGGCTTGGGGGTTGGGGGTTAAGAGGACTCCCCCGAGACAGAGCAGGGAGCAGAACAGGCAGAAGTACACTGCTGAGGGGGGCAGCGGGGAGACAGGAGGGGGCCGCTGCGCCCTGGGAGTCACCTCCTGGCCAGGATGGACTCCTGCTGCAGAGGCTGTGGACAGCTCCGCAGTGCTGCGCTTTAACTCCCCGGGCCACCAGGGAGGCCCTGAGCTGCCTTTTCTACCGCGAACTCACAGACAGAGGCACCATCCTCCAGTGTGCTGCGGGAGCCGCGCGAAGCACCTTCCCTCGTGGGTCCTGAAGGTTCTTGGTGACGAGGTGCTGGAGAGACAGGTTCCCTTCCTGTCCTCTGCTTGGCGCGGCCAGCACTCTGCCGGGGGCCTGGGGAGAGAGTTGTTTTGGGAAGTGTGGGCGAGCAGTGGGTTTCTGGGCATTTTGGTCACTAGTAAATGCCAAGCAGTCGTGCAATTTTGGGTAAGACTCTCGCTGAGACTGACCCCGTCTGGGCACTTGCGCTGCAGCAGGAACAGCTCGTGACCGCCGAGCAGCGCGGTGCCAGGGGTGGTGCCCTGTGCGGGAAGGCGGCTGCTGTATTTCCATCACTGTTCAGATTTCAGACACCAGACACCGCTCTCTGGGGAAGTCCGGCCTGGCCGCCAGTGCCCCGGGGGCTCAAGAGCTGTCTGGGTCGCAGAGCGATTATTCTTGACTTTGGCAAGCCGCCCTGGGGAGCTGATGGGAGTCCCCCAAACACCCATAGGTTGGGTCTGAGAAGGGGAAGCAAGTAAGTGTCTAAGCTGGTAACGCGCAGCTGACTGAATTCTTTCACCTTGGACAGATTTTACCGAGATGATGAGAGCCTTGGGGTACCCTCGACACATTTCTATGGAAAATTTCCGCACACCAAATTTTGGACTTGTATCTGAAGTGCTTCTCTGGCTTGTGAAAAGGTTAGAAGTGTGCTTGCTGAGACCTGAGGGTGAAAAGCAGGTTTGCCTCATCCGCTACCTGGAAACATGCAGGGAACTTATTCTCGTGAAGCAAGAGGAAGACGTCAAAGGAACTTGAGCTTGACAGACTCCCCTGTGCCCTCTACAAACTCCTTGCATCTAAGGAGCTGTGGGAGAAGGGAGCGCCCAGGCCGGTGGTCGGGGCGCCTTATTCTCAGCGGGAAGTAGACCTGGGGCGCTTGGGCAGGCTTGTGGGGCACCCCACCAGACATTTCTGGGCGTGTAGAATCTTTTAGGATTCAGGCTTTGCAGAGTCACAAACTGCTAAAAAAAAGTTGCGTCAGAGCTCTGCTACCTATTCTTGGGTGTGTTTTAAGTGGTTTTTATGTATATTTAGATGTAGAAACGCCCTTAGATTGCGGTGTCTCGCGGAGGGCCGCAGGAACGGCAGCTTCTCAGAGCTCCTTGGTCAGCTCCGGGACAGAGGCTGTCAGCCAGGGCGAGGGGCCTGAGGCTTAGACCTAGACCGCGATGCTGACTGAGCTCTGGTTTTGTAAGCTGAGCGCCACAGGCGTTAGTTAAGCCCGTGGCGCGGCCCCACGGACGCCCGGTGATGGGTGTGGCCTCGGTATCTTATAATGTCGCTGCGGGTCATGCTGCTGTTGCCGCCGGGCTCCCCTCGGCAGCTCCAGCTCTCCGTTGTCCACTTTCTCTTTGGTAGATTTTCATCTAGAGTAACGTGTCTTCGCTCTGTGCGGCAGGTATGAACCGCAGACCGACATCCCGTCTGACGTCGAGACTGAACAGGACCGAGTTTTCTTCATTAAGGCCATTGCCCAGTTCATGGTTAGTCCATGGTGGGTGTGGTTTGTGAAATTAGGTACCTCGGAATGACATAGCATGTTTCTGGTCAGGGACGTGGAGCCATTTCACCAGCAAAGTTTGTTTTTTTATTAATAATTCTATGTTTAAGTAGGAAGCACGTTTTGTGGTTCAAAAGATTTTTTGAAATCATGATGATACAGAGTGAAGTCGCTTTCCGGCGTAGCTGCCATTTGAGTGAGCTGCTCTCACTCCCAGAAACCACTGCTTCCAGTAGCTCCCAGGTATTAGTTGAGCAAATAGAATATTTGTAGAAGAATATCTTCTTTTACGCAGCGGAGGCATTTTATGCACCGCGGTTCAGAATGCGTCATCGGTCCGTTTTAGAGCATTTCCAGATCCGTGATGATCCCCCCCCACCGTGGCCGAGCAGCGTGGCCTGCGGCCTGCGTGTGAGACCGTCGGCTGTGGGCTGCGACCTGTGCGTAGCCCTGGCTTTTTAGGGCTGCAGGTGCCGATTAAAGGACGCACACTCGTGGCCTTGCCCTTGCCGATGCCTCTCCGAGGCTGTGCCAGTTTTCACACTCGCTCACGCTGCTGAGTCGCTCGGGAGTTTGAATCCTCACATATAGGGTCTGTCCCACGTGTCAGCAGTGGCGCCTGCAAGTTACCTTCATGGGATGTCATTTGTGTTTGACATGCAAGGGGCTTTCAACTCTTTTTTGGGTCTGAAAACAGGCCACCAAGGCGCACATAAAGCTCAACACCAAGAAGCTTTATCAAGCAGACGGCTATGCAGTGAAAGAGCTGTTGAAGATCACCTCTGTGCTTTATAACGCTATGAAGACCAAGGGCCTGGAGGGCTCTGACATGGGAGAGGAAGACACCAGCAAGTTCAAGTTCGACCTTGGCTCCAAGGTGAGGACAGTGAGCCCGTAGCGGTACCGTTTGTCCAACTGAATGCACGTCACCTGCTCCTAGCACTGCTTCTTTCTTCGCCCCGTTAACTGAGGGTGGTCTGTCCGTCTTGAACTCCGCGGCACTTGGACCAGAGCAGGAGTCACAGCCCATCGTCATGTTCGAACCTCCCGTGCCGGCTGCTCGGCGTGGGCACAGGCGTGGGCGGCGCGCACGGGCTGGTTCCCAGGCCGCGGTGGGGCTGAGCGGGAGTGGCGGCAGGGCAGGTGTGGCGGCCTTCAGGAGGGCCGTCAGGAGGGGACCGCTGGCCTCGGGGCTGGAGGGGTTTCCCGCAGGGACCTGGAGGAGGAAGGGGCAAGCCTTGCAGGGGCTTCCCTCCGGGGAAGCCTTTGGCCAGGGTGTGTTCTGTGTGTTTGAGGACAACCCGGCTGTGCTGCAGAGCCAGGAGGGGCAGGGAGAAGCGTGGTGCCAGGTTCTTCTGAGGGGTGCCCTGCTTGGCTGGCCTTTCACGTTAAAAGGGCTGCTGAGGCCGCCGGTGGAGGTCAGACTGTGGGGAGGCAGATGCCGTCGGGAGCCCCAGCAGAGACAGCGACGGGGTGGGTGCCAGGACGGGCTGAGCTGAGCGCCAGACTTGAGAGCGGAGTCTGAGGGGGCCCCCACCCCCCAGAACAGCGCCCCTGGTGGGACCTGGCCCACAGGGCAGTGCGTCGCCTTCACCCTCTTCCTGTACTGGCTGTGGGAGTGTGTCTGGCTGGCCTGGGGGTTTTCGGGGAGACGCCCCGGGGGACCCGGGCGTCCCGGAGTGTGCTGCGTTTGACCCCGGCTCTTGGCGCCGCGCCATGCACAGACGCGGCCTGTGGGAACCGTGCTCTGCCGTGAGCTCCCGCGCCGGGCAGGCGGGGGCGGAGTGAGCAGGCGCCCCTCCGGTGCTGCTAAGGACCTGTGCCCGAGGAGGTTTCCGCTTGCTCTTTTCCTTCCAGATTGCTGATCTGAAAGCGGCCAGGCAGCTCGCCTCCGAGATCACCTCCAAAGGAGCGTCTCTGTACGACCTGCTGGGCAAGGAGGTGGAGCTCAGGGTAAGCGCGCGCCTCGGCCGCCCCGAGGCGAGTCGCCCAGGCGTCGTCTGTGCCGGCCGCCGCGCTGCTGCGGGGCTCGGCCTGGTCCCGAGCCCGTGGGTCCCGCATCTTGCCGCCTGGGGGTCCCTCGGGCGGCAGGAGGGGATGATGGTCTTTAAGGTGTCACTTAGCTCTGCGCAAAGCGCTGGGGTGCAGGCCAGAGGTGCGCGGGGCGGGGGTGGCCGAGCGGACTCCCAGAGAGAACAGGGAGCGCAACAGGGGGTCCATGACACCCACTGCTCAGCGGGGAGACAGGAGGGGTCTGCTGCGCCCTGGGGTCCCTCCCTGGCCGGGCCGGACTCAGGCTGCAGCAGTGACAGCGCTGAGACTGTCTCCAGGCCCCCAGGGAGGCCCCAGGCATCTGGCCCTCCGGTGACCGGGTGATTCCGGAGTACAGCCGAGTCTGGCGCCACAGGTCAGGAAGAAGCGGGGTGTGTCGTGATTCTTCCTGTCCTGTGGGGGCCCTGGCTCCTGGCACGCACATCGCTCATTCCATTGCCATGAGGTGTGCCCGTCTGGCTGCGCCCGCCGTCGGCCCGCGTGCCGCTGGCCGTGTGATGGTGCTCCTTCGCCTTGCCTTTGGGCCCAGCGTGGAAATGGCGGTCTGGTGACAGAGGACTCGGGTGCTTGGTCACCGTCTGGTCTTGACCGTGGCCCGGCGCTTGCCATCTGCCTAAGTGTGGTCCCCTGGCGTCGGGTCGCCCACAGGGCAGCTCCGGGCTCCTGGGCTCCAGCCATGTACGGAGTGCACGTGTCTGACCTGAACCTCACGGGCGCTGCGTGAGGGCTGCCCGCTCGCTCGTCACCCCTGGGGCTGTGTCACCTTGATGCCAGTGGGACACTCTGAGCACCAACCTGTAGTGAGCCGTACAGCCATCAGGGGCCAGAAACCGTGACACTCTGAGAACAGAACTGGACTCTGAGCGCTCATCGTCCGGGGAGACGCCCTCTCTGAAGCGTGTCTCCTGTGCACTGAGCAAACACTCGCTGGGCCCGGCCCCAGCTGTGTGCCCACGGTGGTCTCCGCCGGCGGGCGGGTGAGGATTGTGGGTTAGAGGAGGCACGAGACAGCTCGAGAAGTGCTCCAGGAGCCTCTGGCGGCATCCGCGCTCTCACGGGGCTTCTCTGTCCTCCTGTGCCAGGCGCAAATGCCCCTTGACGGTGGGAGGCTTGGGGGCGGCCCGTGACGCTCAGCGTCGGCTGCAGCTGGTGGAGGCCGGCTGGTAAGAAAGAACGTGGCATGTATTGTGGGGTCGCCTGCAGAACGCAGGTGGAGAAGCCAATCCAGGACAGAAGGCGCAGCTGGTCAGCTCAGTCTGGCCCACGGCGTCGGGGGCGTGGGCCTGGCGGCTGCGGGGAGGCCCTGAGCTGGGACAGAGGCCCGGCGGCAGCAGGGTGGAGACCCAGACTGGAGCAGGGAACGGCAGGAGGGGCAGGAGTCTGCGCCGTGCGGAGCCGGAGAGCTGTGCATGGGTGCTGGGCGCGGTTCTGAGAATCATTCCTTTGAAAACGTGGCTCCGCTGTCTCCCGCAGGAGCTGAGAACAGAAGCAGTTGCCAGACCGCTGGAAATAAGCGAAACTGAAAAAGTGATGAGAATTGCAATAAAAGACATTTTGGTAAGATCACTTTGCTTTTATTTAATGCTTTTGTGTCTGGAACGTGCAGCTGCTGATTTATCGCCCCTGCAGGGGGAGCAGGCTAGGCCGGCAAGGGGCACGTGCTGGCCAGAGGCGAAAGCACCTGGCTGCCCCGGCCCCCGGTGCCTCGCTGTGAACGCGAGCAGTTTCTCCGTGACTCATCTCTTGATTTCGTCGGTGATTTTTGTAGGTAGCACTTTGGGTTATGGGCTCTGCACATTTTATTGAGCCATTTCTTCTACATTTTCTTGATTTCTTAAAGACATATATTTTTTAATTTATGCATACAAGAGTGGGTGCAGGCCAGAGGTGCAGGGGGTGAGAGGCCTCACCAGAGACAGAGCTGGGAGCAGAATAGGCAGATCGACTGCGACACACTGCCGAGGGGAGCTGCGGGCAGTTCAGGAGAGGTCTGCCGCACCCTGTGGCCACTCCCTGGCCAGACTCGAACTCAGGCTGTGGTGGCTGGTGAGAGCTTGCGAGTGCTAGATTTAACCCCTGCGCCCCAGGGAAGCCCCTTGGTTTTCTTGATTCTGAATGTGTCACCTGTCATCGCCCCTGGCACATAGTGAGTATTCAGGCTTTGTTGACCATTCATCTGGTCTGTAATTGATTGCATAAGACGAGGGAGCTTATGCACACCCGGGCGGGCATAAGCAAGAATCTGCTCTGAGAAGTGCAGCATTCCCACCGATAGGTTTTTATACTCTGCTGTCACTCAGTGGCATGGCCCCGGGGGTCAGAGGTGGAGGGCGGGGCAGCCAGGGTGGGAGATGTCTACATTCAAGCAGACTGATGGAAGAGGCGGGTCACACACGCAAAGGAGCAGCGTTAGAATGAACCTGGCATTGAGGTGTGGTCTGCAGTGTGCACAACACGGCACACGTGACAGGCGTCAGTGTCTGAGGTCAGTGTGTCCTGCACACGCAGGGTGTGTCCATCAGCTGTTAGCTCCGAGCACGGCTCACACCCCATCTTGACTGCTAAATGCCATCTCCACTCAGAGGAACCAGGGTCGGGGGCTCGAGAGAATGGCTGTTTCCTGAGCTGCCCCCGGGAGGTGCAGGTGCTGCGGTGCCTGGAGGTCAGGAAGTGCTCAAGGCCCGAAAGGCCGAAAGACAGGCTGGCCGGGTGGGCTTTCTCGCCAAACCAAGGCCAGTTTAGGCACCAAAACAGACAAGTCACAGTAATGGCTTAGGGATCACACTGGAAGCCAGTGAGGAGCAAATCTTTTACTCTGAAAATAATTTCAAAGTAGCTCCCCACAAAGTATTTATTTATCACAAAGTACTTTGCCCGGAGGATCTGGCAGTTCCCACTTGAGTGACCAAGGGGGTGGCCTGAAGCGTGGTGGACAAGGGCCAGCTGAAGGTGCTAGTGACCAGCGGGGAGCAGGAGTGTCCAGGAGGGCTGTGAGGAGCCACTGCAGGCTGGTGGGGGTGAAGGAGGCATGCCATGGTGTGCAGGGAAAGGCTGTCCCGAACACACTCCTGCATGCAGGTTTTGGGGATCCACCCCAGCCCAGACACCGGAACGACGAATCCCAGAAACACCATAGAGGGGGTGCTGGGACCCGAGGCTGGGGTCTGGGTATGAAACCGACGTGTCGAGCTGAGGGGTCTCTCGGCCTTGTGCTGGCGACTTGCCGCTTGGCTGCTCGTCAGTTTTTGTGTGCCGCCGCGGCTCCGGGTCGGCGTTGCCGGCGGGGCCCCCTGGCCGGCTTCTCTCCCTCCCTGGTTCCTTCCCCCCTTGTAAGTGAACCCACTAGGGGCCTTCTGGTGTGTCTGCAGCTGAGTCCTGAGTGCGTGGGTGAGGCCCCGCAGACAGGCAGCCCCTGGCGCTTTAGGATCCCTGTGATCTGTCCGCTGTTGGCCTCTGGGGTGTGGGGACCGTGCACGGGCTGAGGGGCGATGGCAGCACCCCCTGAGATGAGTCTGTGGGTGTGCAGGTCAGAGACCCTACTCTTGTGAGTCGCCCTTCCCTCGATCACCTGATCTGCAAGTTTGTGGCTATTTCGGAATTAAAAGTTTTTTTTTTCTCTGTGATTGCGAGTGATTTTAATTTCCATTTTGAATATTTCTGAACTTTCCAAAATTATTTTTTTCTTAATCATAAAACGATTTTTTAAATAGTCTATTTTGACGTCATTTTGTGCCTTTTCCCATCTCAGGTGTCATGCCGTGGGCTTCCCATCACCAAATTCCCCGTGTGCCGTCACCGTAGTCCCGTGCACTGTGCCCCGATTTTGATCCCACCCCCCACCCCACCCCGTAGGATGGCTCTGGTCTATAGCTGTTCGTTATTATTGTTATTTTCTCCCCTGGTCTGTTGAACTCCTGCTATGAGTGAAACCACCCGATATTTTCCTTTGAAATTAAAAGTTTTTAAGAGATGACCGAGTCTGGTCCTGGCCCGTGCCCTGGCTGGCTGTCAGGAAGGCCTGGGCGTGCCGGGGCGTTAGGCGCACCCAGCCGGCAGCCAGGAGAGGGCAGGCTCCCCCGTGCCAGCGCCTGCAGGGCCCCCTGTGCGGAGACCACACCCCAGCCATACCGGATCCTTCAACGGAGGAAGCACCCAGGGAGAACCTGGCTTATCACGCTGGCCTCCTCTGAGGAATTGCTTTTTTTCCCCTTGAGATCAGATAAATCCACTAGGTTTTTTTTTTTTTTTTTAAAGATTTATTTATTTGTGCATACAGAACTGGGGTACAGGCCAGAGGCTCA